GCCTCGCTCCACTGCCGGTACTCCCCCCCCCTTACCCTCCCCCCCCAAACTTTCCTCTTCCCTCCTCCTCCCCTCCCGCCCCTCCTCCCCTTCGCCCCCGCTCCCTCCTTTTCCTTTTCCTCCTCCTCACATCCTCTTCCTCCCAGCTCTCCCCCAGCTAACGAGTCGCAGGTGCTGGACCGGAAGCTCTCGGCGTCAGACCCTCGCCTGCAGGACCCGAGCAAGTTTGAGGAGGTCGAGAGCGACCTGACGCTCGTGGGGCTGACTGGGATCCTCGATCCTCCCCGCGAGGAGGTCAAGGGAGCCATCCAGGCATGCAAGCGCGCGGGCATCCGCGTCATGGTCATCACAGGAGACAACCCCAAGACTGCAGAGACGATCTGCCGGATGATCGGAGTGCTGGAGGAGGGGGAGGCAGCGGAAGGCAAGAGCTTTACGGGCAAGCAGTGGTCGGCGATGAGCCTGGAGGAGAAGAGGAAGGCGATCAAGACGGCGAAGCTCTTCTCGCGCACCGAGCCCATCCACAAGAAGGACATCGTCGAGCTCCTGCAGGTGCCGGTGGAGGAGGGAGGACCCGGCGAGACAGCGGCGATGACGGGCGATGGAGTCAACGACGCTCCTGCCCTCAAGGCAGCGTCCATCGGAGTGGCCATGGGGAGCGGGACGTCGGTGGCGCAAGGAGCAGCGAAGATGGTACTGGCTGATGACAACTTCATCAGCATCGTCGGGGCTGTGGAGGAGGGTCGGGCGATCTACGCCAACACCAAGGCGTTTATCCGTTATCTCATCTCCTCCAACATCGGCGAGGTCGTCTGCGTCTTCCTCTCCGTCCTCCTCGGCCTCCCCGAGGTTCTCAGCCCCGTCTCCCTCCTCTGGGTCAACCTCGTCACCGACGGGCTCCCTGCCACTGCTCTCTCCTTCAACCCCGCAGAGCCCGGCATCATGTCCCTCCCTCCTCGCAGGCGAGACGAGCAGCTTGTGGACGGCTGGATGCTGACCCGGTGAGAGGAAAGGAGAGGAGAGGAGAGCAGGGAAGGGGAGGGGAGGAGAGGACGAGGACGAGGACGAGGAAAAGGACGAGGAAAAGGAGGAGGAATACAAGGAGGAGGAGGAGGAGGAGGAGGAGCTAAAGGGGGAGCAGGTACCTGCTGACGGGCATCTACGTTGGAGTTGCGACGGTGTGGGGGTACGTGTGGTGGATGTGCGTCAACGCTCAGGGACCGCGCATGTCCTTCCGTCAGCTGCGAGGGAACATGCAGTGCATGCCGGGAACCAAGTTCGCCAACGGGTGAGGACGGAGGGAGGACGGAGGACGGAGGAGGCAGGAGGCAGGAGGCAGGAGCTGATGGAGGAGCAGGTACGGCTGTGAAGTGTTCCACGACA